TCCAGTCAAGGCTGCCAACCCCCCAGATTCCTGAGGTATTCCATTCATCCTGAGGCATTACCTCAAACCCCTCAAATGTGGGTTGCTATCATGCTTAATAGGATGGAGTCCCAACATCTTGCCACATCATTAAACCATTCCGTAATACAGTCCTAACCCAACTTTTCTGTTTCTCTTCCCTCTGATACACACTTTCCCCCACATCCAAGAGAGCCCCCAACACAGCCCATTTTGTTCAATGTCTTTGCCTTTGCTTCATGCTAGAGGGTCTCCACCCTGGCCGCACATTAGAATCAGCTGCAGAGCCATTCAAGATGGTGCTCTGTGTGTTAGCACTCAACGCTGGAAGGCATTCTCTCATGTGAGCCACAAAACTACCCTGTGAGATGTAGTACTATTACTGTCACCATTCTACAGAGGAGGAAACAAGAAACTTAGGAAGTTTAGGACATGGTTCCTGGTCAGATGGCCAGTGAGTGGGAAGCTAGGATTTCAAGAGATAAGATTTCCTTCTAAACCACTACTCTGTAGTCTCTTGAACTATATTACAAGTTAAAAAATAATTATTTCTGATAGCATACCACATAATTGACAATAAATCACAAAATACGAGTGAAAATTTAAAAAATATAACTGTGTAGGTCTCACCCCAAAACAATGGCATCTGAATTTCTGAGGAGTGGGGCCCGAGTGTCTTTGTATTAGCTTTAGGGTCAGCCCAGCCTTGCCCCTAAGTGATTCGAATGTGTAGCTGGGGCTGAGAACACTTCTTTATCCAGTTGCTCCTATCTATCTGTCTTCCTCTAGTTCCCTCTCTCCACCCCACATCCTACTGGCCTTTGGGGTTCAGGCTGTGTTATCTCCTGTGTGGACCTGGCCTGCTTTCTCCAGCCTGCCAGAGTGCTCCATTCTCTGAATGCCAGTTGCAAAACTTGTCCACCCCAGCTGAGCTGACACCTATTCTGCCCCTCGGTTGGAATTTAGCTCTTGATTTTATGCCCCTGGATCCCTGGTAGGTTTTCCATATTTAGTCATTTGCTTCTCAGCTACCTCCACCTCTGCCCCAAAAAGAGTGACAAGCATAATCATGCCTCTGTCTGAAAGCAAGACTTGAACTCAGGGTTCTGCCAAGTGGTATTTTTGGCTCAGCGCTCCTTTCCTAGGTATTGGAAACCAGAAACATGTGGGGAAACAGACTGTGACTGAGGGGCAGGGGCAGCAGCATGGTGGAGGAGTGTGGAGAGGGCCCTGCATGCCTCTCAGATGCAAGCTTGGAAAGTGGCAGGATGATGATGAAGTGATGGTGCCTCTAGGGACTGTTTGTACCCATGTGCTGGGAAATTTTGAGAGAAAAGCCTGGGCAGGGCCTGGGTTAGAATTTGTTGGTTAAGGAAGAGGAATTGAGAGAGGAACAATTTTGGCATAAGTGACATTGGGCCCATTGAGGTTGCTGAGTGACTGAATGAATGGCTCTTCAGTTGTATTGTTAGGAAGAATTTAGGGGGCTGCAGCACGTTCGCTGCCAGACAAGAGAGGCTAAGAAGGGGTCGGAGGGAGGGTCTGTTGGAAAGGAGAGGATCTGTGGTCACCAGAGGCCCAGCCAGCCAGAAGCCAAATCCCGAGAGGGTATCTCACTCTGCCACCTGCTCACCTGTAGCCCCGGGACTTGAGGGCCATTGGCTCCTTGGCTGGGCCAATTTCCACTGTAGTTGAGGTCGTTGTCAGGTCTCCATGTCTGTGCTGATAACTCTGTCTGACGATCCCTTTCCTCCAGTGTATGAAGGAGGTGGTGAAAGGAATCACAGGGAGGGAGCATCACTTCTCTTGAGTTACACCATGACCTAATGGCAGTCCTGGGATCAGAAGCCAGCTCTCCTAATTCCCTGTCCAGGCTCTTTCTTCTTGACTCTGCTGACCAAGTTAATCACTTTGCCATTGCAGGGCTCAGAACAAGGCCTCTGGTTGGGGACTGGGGGGCTCTCTTCCTGGCCCATGTTCAACAGGAGGTCCCGGGTCTTCTCTGGCTGAGTCTATTCTTGCAAACTACGTGGGGGCTGATGTAGGACATAGAGCAGCCTCTGAGGAGACAGTCTTGTGGGTCCTCCCTAGGCCATTCGCCCTTCTGGCCCCATTGCCATCAGCATCATATAGTGAGATCAGCTGCCTCCAAGCCCCATGGGAGGCCTGGTGTGAAGAGATCAGCTCAGCAATGAAACCTGTGGCCCATGTGATCAACAACATCCTGATCTCAGCAGGCTGCAGGTAGAGGGAGAAGTTAAGACCTATTCCAGAGCATGATTGGATTGGACAGGACAGCCAAGATGTTCAACACATCAAAGGAGTCTTTCCACGAATGGGGCCATTCCTGCAGGTCTGCCATGGAGGAGCCATGAAAACTTCAGTTCAGGAAACAACCCTCGCCCCTCAATTCTACTCCAGCCCAGGTGACTGGGCCTGTGGGGAATGTCTGACCCAAGGGCTGTGATCTCTGGACATCCCAGGAGCCTAGAAGTGGCCTGAATCAGAGGCTCTCATTAACCTGGTGCCCGCCTGAGTCATTCTGATTCTCCCCTTCACAGTAATTTGAACTGGAGATGTGGCAAGAAAACCAGAAGGAGGCAGGGACAAATGAGTCATGAGCAACCTTCGGCGCAGCACACCAACCTGGCGTCTTGCAGCAACTGCTGCCTCAGAGCTATAAGATAGCCCAGGGAGTCAATAGAGTCCCCAATGCCAAACAGCATTCCATGTCTCCAGCCCTTCTCCCCTGGCCCCACACCTCTGCATTCCAATGACAGCCAAGTCTGAACATACCTGGACTCCTAATTCCCTCCTACCCTTGTGCCTCCTCACAATGAGCCTGGTTACCTGAAGCAGCCTGTTACCAAAGGCCCCCTCAGTGGCAGCACAGACACTACTGGGGAAGCGCATCTCAGAGGCAAAGTGGGGTGCAGCTATCCCTCCCACACAGAGAACTCCTTCACTCCCACCTTGGAGGATAGGGAGTGTTACATGAGGGGACCCGGCAGGCCCCTGGGACTCACAGGCTGCCATCAATGTGCTGACAGGCCTGGGATGCAAGGCTGAGACAACCTGGAGCAGCAGTGTGGCCAAGATAGGGCTGGGCCACAGAGAACCAGTCACAAGCCTGCATGTGTGTGCTGGGCAGGCAGCTGCCACATCCTTGCTGGCTGGGTCAGAGCCCCTTGGTCACTCTGAGTCTCCAGTTTATTGTTATTCACTGAATAATAGAAGTTTCTGTGGGCCCAGATGAGACTGGGGTCTGTCTGTCTTGCAATTGTAAGGCACTAGCTTTCCTGCCAAACAGCTCATTGCGCAGATCCAGGGCCTCTCTCCTTGGAGCTGGGTGGACTCTAGCATCTCCTGCTGAAATAGCCAGGCCTCTCCTAGCCCAGGTCTTCAGAGATATCAACATCAGCACCACTCTGCATCTCAGGACAGGCCCTTGGCTGAGAGACAGTGAGCAGACCTGCAGAGCTTCCTAGGCACCTATTGTATGCCTACACTTCCTAGGCACCTACTGTGTGCCTGAGTGGCACAGCTGAGCCACATGGAGATGAGTGAGACCAACATCCAGCTCTGAGAAGTTACAACCTGGCAGGGAGATGTGCAGCTTAGAGAACTAATCATGCCACATTCAGGCTGCAATGTGATCAAAACCTTGAGAGCCATTCCCCATGATCCAGACACTAACGGTGGGTGAGCTCATAGCTCTGGGGATCAGAGAGGCCTGCACAGAGGAGTCAGCATTTGACCTGGGTTTTGGCGGCTGCATGGACTTCGACATGGAGAGGTAGATGGGAGCAGTGGTAGATGGGAAAGGGACTTTCAATCTTTGTTGACACAACATTAATGTCCGTTGTGCCCAGGATTGTGCCAGAAGCAGCTGGGGGAACAGAGGTGAGTGCCATGTGATCCCTGCTATGAGAGAGGGCCAAACAGGCAGATGATGGCTGCAGCTCAGAGTGGGACAGGAGCTGCAGGTGAGGGAAAGGCAGCAGCGGTGGAGCCCAGCAAAGCAGCCTTGGTGAATGTCTTGCTGGGAAACAAGCACAGAGAGAGGGAGGTGGAGCCATAACCTGACCCTCCCCATCTCCACTTGATTGAACCTGAATCTGAAGGCACTGGAGAGCTGCTTGCTGAAGTCTGGAGCAGAGGCTGATGGTACGGAAGGAACGACCACAGATGCCATCTTTTTGGGAGCCAGCCTCTCAATGTCACTATTCCCCGAGTGTCCCTTGATCAGGTTTCCCCAAATATGTCGCCAGGGAATATGCATATGGTGGCAAGTGTTGGTTCACTCATTGCCGAGAGAACCGTGCACAAGGGCAGGGGCAGGGGCAGGAAGAGGGCATCTCATTTCTTCAGCACATTCTAGGTACTATTGCTTGTCATCTTCACAACCGCCTGTGGGTTGGGCTCCATGACCCAGTTTTGCAGTCGAGGCCCCTGCAGCTCCCGGCGAGACCAGCAGGGCACATGCAGAGGGAGGGCCAGGCAGCTCCCAAGAGGGCCAGGCCTGTCCTCTGCAGAACTTATTCTTTGGTGGGCTCCTACTTGAGGGGGGCAGCTGGGTTTGTTTGTCCACGAAGGTCGGTATGTGGTTGCCTGTTCATCATCTCTGTGGTCAGCAAGGAACAAAGACCAACAGCAGAATACCTGGGGTCAGGGGGCTGGGGGAACGGCGTGCTGTGCAAGACACCAGTAGGCTCTGTGCGTGCACAGAGACCTTGGGGGACCTTTCCCTAAATCTGAGGCACACCCTTACACCCTCTAATCCCCCGCCACACCACCCCCCCCCCCCCCCCAAGAAAAAGAAGCGGCGAGACAAGCCCAGGGTGAAATGAACCAACAGGGACCTCTCTGCGCCCTTCACCGGCTTCCTCTGGGAGGAAGAGGAAGGTCAATGCCCAGCAGCGGCTTCTGGGAGGAAGGGGAAGGCTAATGCCCTCTCGAATGCTCTTCCCTGCTTCCCGCACCTACTCAGGTGTGCGAGCGAGTCCGCGGAGTCCGCTCTGCCCAGCCGGCTCGCCCTCGACCGCCCTCGGAGTTCCACGGCTCCGCGCGCCGCCTCCCCGCCTCCGCCGACAGTCCGAGGCTCTGCGCTTACTATTTCGATCTGGAGGCGCATTCTTCTCACCTTCGCAGAGAGACTGGGTCAAGGGCCCAGGCTGGGAAGAAGCGACAGCTAGTAAAGGACCTCTGCCCGCCCGGCCTGCGGAGAGCCTCAGAGAGAGGACGCTCGGAAAATTCGGTCACTCCCCGGCCCAAAAGACTGTGGAGCGGGCGAGAGCAACCGGTCTCCCAATCCTCCTCCCCTGAGGAGGTGCGGGGGCGGGGCAGGCGGGCTCGGCCCACCCCAGGCGAGGAGCTTGTAGGGACGGCGGGCGGCCGGCTGGACCCCTGCAGGGCTTCGGGAGCCCGAGCGGCCGAGGGAGAAAGGGCAGGGGCGCGCCGTCCGTCCGGGAGAGCAGCTCCTCGCGCTCGGGCCCGCAGGTGTGGGTGGGGAGGGGCCGTGTCCGCCTCCGTGCTGGGTAGAGGGTGGGGGGAGGGACCTTGTCTGTCCACCTCAGCTGGGTAGGAAACCCCGACTCGGACCTGTCCTTGCGCGCCGGGGATCTAGGTACCCCCTCCCCCAGGAGGTTCCCGAGAGTCCGCCCGAGGGTAGACAGACCTAGGCGTGGTGTGCACGCGCGCGTGTGTCTGTGGGTGTGCGTGCGAGCGAGGCAAGAGGGTCTTGGCGTCCCCCGCACCCTCTCTGCCGGGTTCTATATTTTGCCTTTCTTTGTTCTCAAAATAGTAGGCGAGCGCGGCCGGCGCTGCCCTGGCGAGGGGTGGGGGCCCCGCGCTCGCTCGCGCGAGCCGAGTTAGCTGCAGGGTTACAAACAGTCTCTCCCTGCTCCCCCGGTCTGAATTAATGTGTTACTATTTCGGGCGAGCCAGTGTTTCCAGGGGAAACCTAATGACGCAATGACGTCAATGCAGGTCAGCAGCAGACTCTCCGGGAGGGCGGGCGGGCTCCCGGCTTTCGGGCTCGGCGCAGTCTGCGGGCGGGAGGGCGCCGGCGAGGTGGCGAGGGCGGCGGGCGCGGGGGCGCGGGAGCCCCGGCCAAGCCCGGGGATTGGAGGGCGCCCCCTCCCAGCGCCCGAACCCAGGCAACTTCCCGCCGCCCTGGCAGGAGTTTCTCCGTAGCCCACGGACATCCGGGAGGCTTGTGGAGGGCAGGCGGGTAACCCCCACTCCCACCCCACCTTTATCCAGGGGCAGCCAGAGGAGCCAGCAGGTCGGGACTCGCTGAGGGGGCTCCACGCGGGGCCTCCCACGCACAGGTACGCGCTGGTCCTCGGGGTGTCCCCAGTTTGGGAGGGAGACACGCACAGTTGCTCCCGTCCACACTCCTCTCGTGTCCTGGCTCCATGACTGGGAGTCTGGGAAAGAAGAATGGGTGTCTGAGACCTACCCCTCCGCTGGTGTCGCCCCGCTCTTTCTGGGCGTAGGAGCGGGCTGGCTGCTTCTCTCCCGCACCTTCCTGGTCTTGGGCTAGAACTGGGGCTTCCCACCGGCTGCGCCTCCCTCAGCGGCGCCATCTGAGGTCGGAAGCAAAGCTGGAGGGGCGTCCAGGCCAGAGGACTCAGGCTGGGGCGGGAGCCTCGGCAGCCTGGTGGGAGCTGGTGCCCACTGCAGGGTGCGTGTACGGGGCTGCCTGCGTGTGCTTGGTGTGTGTCACTTCTGGGAGCGTACCCTGTGTGTCCACGGGATGTGTATGCGCCCACGGAAGTCCTCTGTGCATGCGTGTCTGTGCCATAGGCGTGGGAACACCTCGTGCACCCATGGTACTTGCCCGGAGAGTAGGAGGCCGGCCAGCGAGGGAGCGGCCCTGCTCCAGGGTCTCTTCGCTGCTCATCCCTGCAGCTGGCCCACATTGCACCCTATTCAGCCGGATCGCGGCCCACTTTCCCCACAGCCGCAGCTTCCGGCGGCTGCACACTTCTTGGTGCTCAACCTGCCTTGGTGACCCAACTCGTTGTGCCCTTCCCTCCTTGGAGAGTGAGGAGAAGAGGGGATGGAGGAATCCGTTTCCATCCCCCGCGACCCCCTCATCTAGGGCGGAAGCGCAAGCTCAGCTGGGTGCTCTCTGCCCCCTTGATCGCCGCTCTCGGTTTTCAGCACCAGGGTCCGGACAGCTCCACACCCGGCCCTGAGGGGCCTCTTTCCTTACCCCGGCCTGGAACGCCCCCGCCCTGGCCTTCATAGCTTCCAGCTAGCTCCAGAACCCTATCCTAGACCCTCCTCCCTGCCCCCAACACAAACACACAACCTGCCTTCACATCCCGTACCTCTGTCGGGTGGCCAGGAGCTCCCAGGACCAGAACCTGCCTGGGAAATCTCTGAAACTGACTAGCAGGCGTCACCACATCGCAGCCCGTCTTTCTCCAAAGGGCAGTGACTGAAGAGAGACTGCTACAACCCCGCCACAGGCTCCCCTTTCCCACCTCAGTTCATTAAAATAGGTGAATAAAGCCAGATTCCTTCCCCAAAAGGCTAGCCAGACTTCAGAAGGCACTGCTGGATCTAGGATTTTCTGGATTCTACAAACGCAACTGGTGGCCCCTGGGACCCCCTTCCAGACAGTCTCACAGTCCCTACTTCCTTTCTTTTTCTAAATCCAGGCCTCCTCCTGTGGAAGGGGATGGAATGAACCCCAACCATCTCTCCATTTCCAGCAGCAGAGAGGGTTCAGATGATGTCATGGCTTTGGGGGCACTGGATGGGATGATGTTTGTGCAGATTCTCACCAGAGATGTGCCCTGGGCACCCCAAGATGCCTCTAGAGGTGACTTTTGTGGGGCCAGGGCTCCGTGCAGACTGCTTTCACTGGGATGTGGTCACCCAGAGACCTCTGAGGTAGCCCCCACCCCAAGTGGGGTGGGGATACAGCAACTCTACCTGTGGCTCTCCCCACTCCTTTAGCTGGCAAACACCAGATATGTTGCTGGAATATGGTCCTAGACGCCTCTCCTTAGTGAGAGAGAAAGGTATCTCCTTCGTGTCATCCCAAACCCTCCAGGAAGAGCAGAAAGGGTTGATGTGATGCCTTAGCTGATTCAGGGATGGGTGAAGAAAGTCAGGGAGAAGTCCCCTCTCTCCATCCTGCCCTACCCTGCTTCTGAGAACTTTGGTAAGCTGGAGATGAGGAGCCCTTCTCCTACGAGGGAATCAGGCAACTCTTCCTATCTCCACATTCTTCTCTCTCAGGCAGCAGAGACTAGGCCAACCTTGTCGGATCTGGCCCAGGGCAGATCCATGTGTTGTCTTTGTTCCACTGAGGCAAAGGGCAGGAGAGATCTGGACTTGGAGAGAAGGGTGCCTCTTTGCAGAAGCTCTGGGACCTGGGGTGAGGCATGCACACTGTCAGCAGGAAATGGCCTTTTCTCTGAAGCAGCCATTGTTCTGCCTGCTGCTGAGCTACCAGGGTGAGGAGAGAAAAATCCCCCCAGGCTGGGGCAAGGGAAGGAGAAGCAGCCACCCCAGTCCAGTGGCACTTCCTTCTGACAGGGTAGAAGCCTAAGCTCAGCTCCTGTGACATTCTCGGAGTGTCCACGGGCCTCAACGGAAGCCTGAAAATGGCTGTTCTCTCAAATGAATTACTTTTCAGACAAAAAGAACTGCGTGTGACTCAGTTAAGGAGATGGCAGTGTGGACAAAACACACAGAGAGTAAGGGGATGAGCCTTCCGCTAAAGGTCAGTGGCCTCTCCAGGGTCTTTCAGCCCAAATTCAGTCCCCTGGGAGTGCAAAGCTGCCACCGTCTGCCTAGCCCCATGCCTGGCCACTTTCCAGGCTGCCCTGGCTCCATGACCTTCCTCTGTGCTCAGCTGGGTAACATCTGGCTGCAGCCTCAGGGGAAGGCTGGCCAAGGTCGGGCAGGTACAGGGAAGTTTGCTTGTGGATATGAGCATGGTTTCTCTGGTTTTGCGCAGCAGAGACCTTGGAAACAATAGCCAGGGAAGGTGCAGGGCCCCACCCTGCAGGAAGCCAGCACTGGGCATCGGGGAGAGAGCCCGAGCCTCTGCAGTTGTCCTTGTCTAATTGCAGACATCATGGGCCAGAGGAGCTTCTGGTCTCTTAAGTGCCCTGGCTCAGGTGCTCAGCAGGGAGCTGGACTGATGCAGCACCATGCCCAACACAGAGGGCCAAATTCTCCCTTCAGCCCCATGCTGTTTGCTTAAGCAAGTCCTTATGATGAGCCTCAGTTTCTCCATCTGCATAATGGGGATTAGCTGAAGCAGAGAAGGTACCCACAGGCTTGTCCTGAGTGTGTCTGAACAACATTTTATTAGCATCTGAAGTCAGAGCTTGTCAGGAGAGCTGGCTCCTTTGTTCACTAAAATGTCTGGGTTCCTGAGAGGCTCAGGGTGCCTTTGGGTATGGGAAAGGCTGATTCAGGTTCAGTGGTAACTTTATCACCTCCTGGCCAAGTTCTCTTCCTGCCAGGGTCTCAGCCTCTCCCTGTAGATGGAAGCCCACGTCCCACTGTTCAGAAACTGGGGACCCACTGTGCCCAGGGGAAGCATGTATGGAGAACAGCTCCAGGCTGGCCAAAACCACCCCACCCTGACCCCCAATCAGGACTCCAGCTGGCAGCTCCTATGCCCCGAAACAAAGACAGGAAGATCTATGGCAAAATAGAAAGAGTTCTAAAGTTTACTCTTGGGGACAAGAAGCTCAGGGTCTTCCCTCCTACAAGAAATCATGTGGAGGCCTCCTGATCACCTCACTGTCTGGCAGCTGGACCCCTGGGCACAGTGGGGGCTGAGCCAAGGTCTGAGAGAGCTGGCATAGGTAACTAACTGTGTGCTTGTCCCCAAGTGGAGCTTGCCAGGATACCTAGATCTCATGCCCAAGGCTACTGTTTGGATTGTGCAGCCGTCACAGGAATACTCAGTGTGAGTGCCCTTGAGCCATTTTATTGAGGGTGACGTCCGTGAGACTGGGAGGGCATCCCCTCAGCATAGAAGAGCACCCCGTGGGCAGTGGCTCTGCTTCCCCAGAGGCTGCAAGGTGCAGGGTCAGTGCTGACAGTGGGGAGGGGGCGGGATTGACCTAGCCCTATCTCTCCTGGCTGTGTGACCTTGGATTCAACATTTCTTCTCACAGCATGAACAAAAATGAAGCACCGGCCATGGCCCTTCTTGGGACTGTAGTTAGAGTTGATGAGATACAGTGAAGACAAGTGTGTCAAGGGAGTGGGCAGGCACTGTTGACCCTGAGAAGACCCCAAATGCTATTCCTTCCTGGCAAGCTTTCCTGCTGCCAGGGTCTCAGCCTCTCCCTGTGAATGGAAGCCCAGGCACTGCCATTCAAGAATACAAGGAGGTCCCCTCCCCAGGAGGGAGGGATTTAGGGTGTGTGTTAGCATCAGAGTCCACAGCTTTGTTAAGTGACCAGTTCTGGCCACCTCCTATCTGCCCTGTTGGTAAACAAGGGATTCCCTGCCCTAAATAGTACGAGATGGCTGAACATACAACACTGGACATGGCAGATGAGACTGGCAGCAGTTTATTCGCCACCTGCCTTCACAGCCTGGGGGAGGAGGATGCAGCACACCATGCAGGGCATATGAGGGTTGCAGCTGGGAGTGGCACCAGGAGCTGAGCCAACAGCAGGGGCTGTGGGAGGCAGCTTTATAGTGAAAAAGGATGTGGTATCCCCAGTTCCTGCAGGAGGTTGTCATTGGCTTGTTTGAATAAATTCGTGGGCTGGCTGGGTAGTGAAACCCATTAGGCTGAAGACCAGGTGCAATGCGGCTATCCTGGCCAACAGGAAACTAGCCAGGTGGGGAGCTTTTCTCCCTGGGTGGGAACGAGCATGTCTGGAGAGAGCTGGGGAATTCGTGGTTGGGCCTTTGGGACTCAAAGATGTCAAGACAGCCCTTGAACTGTAGGCCTTATAATAAAATGCTTCAGGCCATATGCCCAATCTCACTAACCTTTGCAACATCCCTGTGAGTTACATTTCACAGATGAGGAAACTGAGGCAGGGTATGAACCAAGACCACCCAGGCCAGGCTTGGTGCCCAGGTCTCCTGACTCCACAGTACATGCTGTCTGTGTCCATTAGGGAAGACACCTGTAAGCTGCAACCACTTCCCAAAGCAGGCACAGTGAGTGGCGCTGTCTCCAGATGCCCTGGAAGTTCTCTGCCCTTTTCAGAACAGGATTCTCTGCAGCTTTGTTTCTAGTTGGAATGTAATTGAACAGAACCTCAGACCCTCTTTGGTGCCTACTGATTGCAGATTGTGGAGCTGGTAAATGGATTTGCATATTAAATCAATGATATTTCTATTCTGAAAGTCAAGGCTTACGAGTGTGGACTTGAGCTGACCAGGTGGTTGGGGAGACCTGGGTTCCAGCCTAGCCCAGCCCCTCCCTCACTGTGTGGCTTCAGGCAACCTTCCCTCCACTGGGCTCAGACTTCTCAGCAGTAACCAGAGGGAACTAGATGGGCTTGAAGGCACCTTCAGTTTTGTTTTGAGATGGGATCTTGCTCTGTTGCTTAGGCCAGAATGCAGTGGTGCGAACATAGGTCACTGCAGCCTCGAACTCCTGGCTTCAAGCATCTTCCCACCTCAGCCTCCTAAAGTGTTGCGATTACAGGTGTGAGCCATCATGCCCGGGCAGCCTTTCAGTTTCACTGGGCGGTGAATCCTCAGTCTTTACCTGTGGAATAAAAGGTCCTATACACACAGGCAGAGGATTAGAAGGCAAGTGGTAGGAGGACATTTTTGTTCCTGTGGAGTGGGGAAGAGTCATGTTGACTTCGTCTTTTGGGGTGAATAGATGGTAAGATGGTAGGAGTGTAAGTCTGAATCTTTCCCCAGCCCCCAGCCCAGCCCAGCCTCACCTGCCTCAAGAAATTCACTATACTTTGCTGGCCAAGGCCTAATTCCAGAAAATGCTCTGAGGACAGAAAAGTCTGTGAAATGTTGCCATCTGGTTTTTAGAGCCCTGGAGTCCTGAAGTTGTCAGCCCAAACCCAGCCCAGCCCAGCAGACCCTCGCCTCCAGACCCATCTCTTGGGGCATGGGCATTTGCTACATCT